CATGTAATATGTTTCATCTTTATCAACATGTAATATGTTTCATGTTTATTAACAGGTAATATGTTTCATGTTTATTAACATGTAATATGTTTCATCTTTAGTAACATGTAATGTTTCATCTTTATTAACATGTAATATGTTTCATCTTTATTCATTTTTAAATGATTTATGTTAAGACGACCTGCATTTTTGTCCTTAAACAGAAGACGAGTCCTCAGAGTGTCAACAGATTTATGTCCTCACAACATGAGTAATACATGTGATTACACACACACCCACACACACACACACACACTGGTGGTAAACAAAGAGATGTGGAAAACAAAAACAGGATGAGGATTAACTGTGTGTTTCTTAATATTCTCTCAGTACTGTGAGTACAAAGGTTCTGCTAAAGGTAGTAATATAAAATAAAAACTTGTGCCAGTAAAATGGTAGATTTGTGGTGTTGTGAGCAGTACTGGTGGTACTGATACTGGTACTGGTGGTACTATTACTGGTACTGGTGGTACTATTACTGGTTCTGGTTCTGATGCATCAAACAATAAAAATGATGTGTAGAAGTTGTGAAGACGTTCTAACAGAGTAAAGTGGATATTGTGCCATTTTTCATTCATAACTTGAATGAATGAAAAATCTAATTTGTTGTGAAAAAAAAGAGGACGGGCTGCTGCTGCTGGCCCTTTAAGAGAGAAGAGGATGAGCTGCTGGCCCTTTAAGAGAGAAGAGGATGAGCCAACACCCACTCCCCCCTACCTCCGCCTCCTCCGACACATTGTTCTCCCGGCGAGCAGCAGCTTCTACAGACAGACAGGCAGGCAGACAGACATATTGACATGCAGACAGACATATTGACATGCAGACAGACAGACAGACAGGCACACTGACAGGCAGACAGACAGGTCTCCGGTGTGAACGTTCGGAGGTTTTTAACGGATTCACCGGCTGATAAACAGGAGACAAAGACAGAGAGACAGACATGCTGACAGAGAGACAGACAGATAGACAGACTGACGGGCAGAGACGCTATGACCAGAGGCACGCGCCGCTGGACCGACAGGCAGGAGCTCAGGTGAGTGACAGAACAAAGAGTCTCTTCTTCTTCTTCTTCTTCTTCATCTTCTTTAATCTCGTCCGCTGATGCTCCCGCTGCTGTTGTCATGGTAACCATATCCCAGTCTGAGGTCATGTCGGTGTTTAATATATATATACTGTATATATATATACTGTATATATATATTTACATAAAGTTTAACATTCAAAGATAACTTCCTGTTTACCTGTTTACATGTAAAACTCGTGACATCACAGACCTGTCAATCATCAGAGAAAATAAAATGTCAATAAAAATACTACCATATAATACTACTACTACGACTACTACTACTACCTTATAATACTACTAATAATCAGAATCAGATGTTGTACATACAAGGAATTTGTCATTGCGGGAAGTGCAAAACATTAAACAATAACATTAAACAATAACATTAAACAATAACCTTAACCAATAACATTAAACAATAACATTAAACAATAACACTAACCAATAACATTAAACAATAACATCAAACAATAACATTAAACAATAACATTAAACAATCAACAACAATCAACACAGTGCAAGAAATAGAAACATATTAAAATGTACAATATAATATAAAAGAATATAAAATAAAGTGCACAGACAAGCAGATAACAGGACTATAAACAAGTATGAAATGTTAAAGGTGTCGAGCGTCTTTAAATATGAGGGGAGGAGCAGGCAGAGACCGGTACGAGGTGGTCCCGATGATGACAGAGTCAGGGGGTCCTGGGCTCTGTTAATGAGCCCGACTGAAGACTGAAGAAACTGTTGATGTGGCGTGAGGTCTTGGTCCTGATGGAGGTCTTGGTCCTGATGGACCTCATCCTCCTGCCAGATGGAAGGGGCTCCAACAGTTCATGTCCAGGGTGAGAGGGGTCGGCTACAATACCTTATAATACTACTACTACTACTACCATATAATACTACTACTACTACCATATAATATTACTAATACTACCATATAATACTACTACTACTACTACCATATAATACTACTCCTACTACCATATAATACTACTCCTACTACCATATAATAATACTAATACTACCATATAATACTACTACCATATAATACTACTCCTACTACCACATAATACTACTCCTACTACCATATAATACTACTACTACCATATAATACTACTCCTACTACCACATAATACTACTCCTACTACCATATAATACTACTACTACTACAATATAATACTACTACCATATAATACTACTCCTACTACCATATAATACTACTACTACTACCATATAATACTACTCCTACTACCATATAATACTACTACTACTACCATATAATACTACTCCTACTACCATATAATAATACTACTACTACCATATAATACTACTCCTACTACCATATAATACTACTCCTACTACCATATAATACTACTAATACTACCATATAATAATACTACTATTACCATATAATACTACTACCATATAATACTACTACTACTACCATATAATACTACTACTACTACTACCATATAATACTACTACTACTACCATATAATACTACTACTACCATATAATACTACTCCTACTACCATATAATACTACTACTACTACCATATAATAATACTACTACTACCATATAATACTACTCCTACTACCATATAATACTAATACCATATAACAATACTAACATTTACCATAAAATATTACTACTAATACCATATATTAATACTAATTATTCTATTTATTTGAATTTATTAATGATGAATAAATTCGACCTGAAATCACTTTTCTGTGAATAAAACAAACAGAGTTTTAACGGACGGTTCCTTTAAATCAGGAGGTCAACAGGAAAATAACTGAAGGAAATCAGCTTCCTGACAGGAAACACACACACACAGACACAGATACATACACACACACACAGACAGATACACACACACACACCACTGCTGCTTTTGTCCGTCAGTGTGTGTGTGTGTGTCCTACTTTCTGCTCTTTGTTTGACGGCTTCATTGAAAAAAACACACAAAGAGACAAAGAGACAAAGACAACATGAAGACGTGAAGAGATATTACAAGAACTGGACTAAATATGGACAAAAATAAATAAGTAAACATGAAATGATGCAACAAACAGAACTTGTTTTCAAATGAAACAATCAGAAGTGAAAGAAAGACGTCTCGAAATAAACATAAAGGACTGATTTTAATATTTCTTCAGTAAAGATTATTTACTGGACAGTACTGGGTGCATCAGGGCTAGGTAGGACGGTACTGGGTCCAACAGGGTTAGTTAGGATGGTACTGGGTCCATTAGGGCAAGGTAGGATGGTACTGAGTCCAACAGGGTTAGTTAGGATGGTACTGGGTCCATCAGGGCCAGGTAGGACAGTACTGGGTGCATCAGGGTTAGGTAGTGCGGTACTGGGTCCAACAGGGCCAGGTAGGATGGTACTGGGTCCAACAGGGTTAGTTAGGATGGTACTGGGTCCATCAGGGTTAGGTAGGACGGTACTGGGTCCAACAGGGTTTGGTAGGATGGTATTGGGTCCAACAGAGTTAGGTAGAATGGTACTGGGTGCATCAGGGCCAGGTAGGACGTACTGGGTGCATCACGTTTAGGTAGGATGGTACTGGGTCCAACAGGGTTAGTTAGGAAGGTACTGGGTCCAACAGGGTTAGTTAGGATGGTACTGGGTCCATCAGGGCCAGGTAGGATGGTACTGGGTCCAACAGGGTTAGTTAGGACGGTACTGGGTCCAACAGGGTTAGTTAGGATGGTACTGGGTCCATCAGGGCCAGGTAGGACGGTACTGGGTCCAACAGTGTTAGTTAGGATGGTACTGGGTCCAACAGGGTTAGTTAGGACGGTACTGGGTCCAACAGGGTTAGTTAGCATGGTACTGGGTCCATCAGGGCCAGGTAGGATGGTACTGGGTCCAACAGTGTTAGGTAGGATGGCACTGGATCCAACAGGGTTAGTTAGGATGGTACTGGGTCCATCAGGGCCAAGTAGGATGGTACTGGGTCCAACAGTGTTAGGTAGCATGGTACTGGGTCCATCAAGGCCAGGTAGGACGGTACTGGGTTTAAACAGGGTCAAAGATAAACCGGGTCTGTCTGTGTGTCCAGGTAGCCCAGCGCTGAGGTGAGGCTGCTTGTGATTGGTGGTTGCCATGGTGCCCAGGCCGTCTTCGGGGGAGCTGTGGGGGCTCCATCTGATGCCCCCCCGCATCCTGGTGGACTGCTGCCTGCCCAACGGTGGGTTCTCTTCTTCTCTACGGGGATTTGTTTGAATAATAATAATAATATTAGTTATGATAATAATGATAATGATGATAATAATGATGATAATGATAATAATAATGATAATAATGATAATAATGATGATAATAATGATAATAATGATGATAATGATGATAATAACAATGATGATCATAATAATAATGATGATAATGATAATAATGATGATAATGATAATAATGATGATAATGATGATAATGATAATAATAATGATAATAATGATAATAATGATGATAATAATGATAATAATGATGATAATGATGACAATAATGATGATAATAATAATGATGATAATGATGATAATGATAATGATGATAGTGATAATAATGACTCTAATGATAATAATGATGATAATAATAATAATGATGATAATGATAATAATGATAATAATAATGATAATAATGATAATAATGGGAATAATAATGATAATAATGATGATGATAATGATAATAATGATGATAATAATCGTGTCTCAGGGATGATGGTGAGTCTGGAGTGTCTCAGAGAAACTCCTCTCATCAGCATCAAGCAGCAGCTCTTCACTGAGGCCAGGAAGTACCCGCTCTACCACCTGCTGCAGGTACATCTTTGACCCCGTCTACTATTATTTACCGGCAGTAACACAGGTAAAATATCTCTGCTCTCTGATTGGCCAGGAGGAGTCAAGCTACATCTTTATGGGCGTGAACCAGGAGGCGGAGAGGGAGGAGTTCTACGACGAGACGAGGCGGCTGTGCGACCTCCGACTGTTTCACCCGATCCTGAAGGTCATCGAGCCGCTGGGCAACCGGGAGGAGAAGATCCTGAACCGGGAGATAGGTAACGAAAAATTACCTCATCGCTCACCGAACTCCATCTCCCAGAGTTCCACCCTCCACCCTCAGACTAAAACCCTCCCCGTCTTCAGGGTTCGCCATCGGGATGCCGGTCTGTGAGTTCGAGATGATGAAGGACCCGGAGGTCCAGGACTTCCGTCGCTCCATACTGAGCGTGTGCAGAGAGGCCATGGAGGAAAGGGGGGGGGGGGGGGGGCCACAGCCAGGCGCTCTACGTCTACCCCCCCAACCTGGAGTCCAGCCCACAACTCCCACAGCACATCTATAGCAAGCTGGACAAAGGTACTCAAATTAAATTAAACTAAACCCCCACCTACGAGAACACACAAATACACAATATGAACAGACTCAGCAGGAAAACCAGATCAGGACCTCCCTACTTTTGAATGAGGCCTTTTGTTACCTCAGCCTGGATTAGATGTCTCTTTGTTGGTTGTTTTATGTCTCTTTGTGGTTGTTTTGTTTCTCTTTGTGGTTGTTTTGTTTCGCTTTGTAGTTGTTTTATGTCTCTTTGTTGGTTGTTTTATCTCTCTTTGTGGTTGTTTTATGTGTCTTTGTTGGTTGTTTTATGTGTCTTTGTTGGTTGTTTTATGTCTCTTTGTGGTTGTTTTATGTGTCTTTGTGGTTGTTTTATGTCTCTTTGTGGTTGTTTTATGTGTCTTTGTGGTTGTTTTATGTGTCTTTGTGGTTGTTTTATGTGTCTTTGTGGTTGGGTTTAGTAACCAAGACCTCTGACTGGTGGAGGACCTGAGGGTTTAGTAACCAAGGCCTCTGACCGGTGGAGGAATTGAGGGTTTAGTAACTAAGACCTCTGACCGGTGGAGGACCTGAAGGTTTAGTAACCAGGCCTCTGACTGGTGGAGGACTTGAGGGTTTAGTAACTAAGGTGTCTGACTGGTGGAGGACTTGAGGGTTTAGTAACCAAGGTCTCTGACTGGTGGAGGACTTGAGGGTTTAGTAACCAAGGCCTCTGACCGGTGGAGGACTTGAGGGTTTAGCAACCAAGGTCTCTGACTGGTGGAGGACTTGAGGGTTTAGTAACCAAGGCCTCTGACTGGTGGAGGACTTGAGGGTTTAGTAACCAAGGCCTCTGACCGGTGGAGGACTTGAGGATTTAGCAACCAAGGTGTCTGACTGGTGGAGGACTTGAGGGTTTAGTAACCAAGGCCTCTGACTGGTGGAGCACTTGAGGGTTTAGTAACCAAGGCCTCTGACCGGTGGAGGACTTGAGGGTTTAGTAACCAAGGTCTCTGACTGGTGGAGGACTTGAGGGTTTAATAACCAAGGCCTCTGACTGGTGGAGGACCTGAGGGTTTAGTAACTAAGGTCTCTGACTGGTGGAGGACTTGAGGGTTTAGTAACTAAGGCCTCTGACTGGTCCAAGTTTTCGAAGGTGGGACTTTTTGTGAACTCCATGATGTATCCTCAAACGCAAACTGCTGACAGCCCCCCCCCCCCCCCATCAAGGGGTTCAGAGCAGAGAGGCCAGATCCACGAATCCAGCCAATCAGAAAGAGACAACTACAGGTTGATGCTCAAAGACTCCATGAGCAACACTCTGCAGGACGCTGTGAATTCTGTGAATGTGTCGGGATAGAAAAGATCCAACTAAAGTAAGATAATGTGTCTCTGTCTCTACCCGTCTGTCTACAGGGAGGTTGATTGTAACCATCTGGGTCATCGTGTCTCCGTCCAACTCCAAACAGAAATACACTCTGAAGGTAAAGCTGGATGTCTGTTGATTTGAGTCACTCTCTCTTTCTTTCCAGCCAACCAAGCTTAGACGCTTCAACTTCACTCAACACATCAACTTCCCCTAAACCACAACCGAGGTCACATCCTGGACCTGGTCACCCCCTCCTTTAGCCCCTCCCCCACATACCTCTACAATAACACAAGCAGACCTGGTCCAACTCTCCAATAACACACTCAGACCCGGTCTACCTCTACAATAACACACTCAGACCTGGTCTACCTCTCCAATAACACACTCAGACCTGGTCTACCTCTACAATAACACACTCAGACCTGGTCTACCTCTACAATAACCAATAACACACTCAGACCTGGTCCACATCTACAATAACACAATCAGACCTGGTCTACCTCTACAATAACACACTCAGACCTGGTCCACAGCTACAATAACACAGTCAGACCTGGTCCACATCTACAATAACACAATCAGACCTGGTCTACCTCTACAATAACACACTCAGACCTGGTCCACAGCTACAATAACACAGTCAGACCTGGTCTACCTCTACAATAACACACTATCCTCTAGAACTGTCTCTTTCACACTGCTCTCTAGTTCACCCCTGAACTCCGCAGACTAGAGCGACTCTTCAACCAAACCGGCCTCACAGATCACACCCTGGTTTACAAGGAATACTTACAGCACCACTGCTCGCTCCACCTACTACTCTGACATCATCCACTCCGGTTCCTCCAACATCATTAGTATCAATAAGTTCAGGTCTGACCCAGCCGTTCAGTATGTGGTCCTCTTCTCTTCATGCTGCTCTTTGGTGACATCATACGCCACCATGGTCTCCATTTCTACCAAATCCCCCCCCCACCCCCAACTCCACCATCACCAACTTCCTCAAACTCAACAGCGACAAATCTGAAATCCTCATCATCGGCCCCGAATCACTAAACAAATCCCACCACGACATCGATGGCTCCACTGTTCCTGCTTCCTGTCTGTCTGAATCACCTGTCTGTCTCTCTGTCTGACTACCTGTCTGTCTATCTGTCTATCTCCACTGTTCCTGTTTCCTCACATGTCCGTAGCCTTGGTTACGATCAAAGCCTCTTCTTCTCCGTCTCCTACCAATTAAAACTCATTTGGGTAACTGTGTGTGTTTGTGTGTTTGTGTACAGGTGACTCACGACAGTTTACCTGAGCAGCTGATAGCAGAGTCCATCAGGAAGAAAAGCCGATCGATGCACCTGTCACCTCAACAGCTCCGCCTCTGTGTTCAGGAGTACCAGGGGCAGTACATCCTGAAGGTACACCTGTCTGTCTGTCTGTCTGTCGGACTACCTGTCTGTCTGTCTGTGGTCAGGAGTACCAGGGGCAGTACATCCTGAAGGTACACCTGTCTGTCTGTCTGACTACCTGTCCGTCTGTCTGTGTCCAGGACTACCAGGTGCAGTACATCCTGTAGATACATCTGTCTGTCTGTCTGACTCACCTGTCTGTGCCGACGTTGTTTTGTTTCTCTTAGTGGTTGTTTTGTTTCTCTTAGTGGTTGTTTTATGTCTCTTTGTGGTTGTTTTATGTCTCTTTGTTGTTGTTTTCTTTCTCTTAGTGGTTGTTTTATGTCTCTTTGTGGTTGTTTTATGTGTCTTTGTTGTTGTTTTATGTCTCTTTGTTGTTGTTTTCTTTCTCTTAGTGGTTGTTTTATGTCTCTTTGTAGGATGTTTTATGTCTCTTTGTGGTTGTTTTGTGTCTCTTTGTAGGATGTTTTGTGTGTCTTTGTGGTTGTTTTATGTCTCTTTTTGGATGTTTTATGTGTCTTTGTTGGTTGTTTTATGTCTCTTT